ATTAAAATTTTAATTAAGAAAAATTTTGCAGACAATTTTTTGGGGGTTACACCACTTACAAATGACTTATGTACCTACATACTAACTGGTAGACAAATAGGTAAAAATAAACATGTGCACATAAAAATATTGAAAATAATTTCATAAGCTGCGAAGAAAAGCCTTTTTGTCTATCAAAGAAGTTTAAAAAGAAACATTCAAGAAGCTTCAATCCCTTCGATCAACGCAATAATGTATTTCCATCTCAAACAATGAATTTAAAAGTAACAAATGTGTTTCCAGAAAATATTGTTTTCTGCGTAGTAAAATGGTAAAAATGTTAAAGCGGTAAAACTAAATGTTTTAAGTACCCTCAACACATCAATCATATCAATGAATTTTTTTTATTTATTGCGATAAATTATACGCAAGGAGTGTCGCAATGTCGGGTGCTTCTATTGCAGAAATATTAAATTATGTAATCCGTGATTGATTATCATCATGCAATTTCCAATTACTATTTACATATATTCCATATCCTCATTTGAGTGACTGTTTAATTTGCTGCAATATATGATTTGCAACATTAACAATAGCTATTGAATTACAGCTATTGTTTGTTTCAAAATTGTTCAAATATCTGTCAACTAAATTGTCATGAAATTTACATGTGGAAAAGAAAAGTGTGTTTGTTTTTTTTATTTTAAAAATTTATTTTAAAAAAAAAAAATGTATAATGGGTATGATTTCCTTCTCTAACATGTTTTAATTGCTAACGTTTTTTCAAAAAGACGGGGATAATTGAACGAAAAAAATTCAACAGCTCATGTGAATCATTTAAAGTTCCCTTTCTTTTAATTGTGTAAACTTTGTTGGCCAAAAATACAGTATTATTTACTATTGGTCAAAGCGTAATTGATATATATTTTTATTTTTGCTTATTAAGAAAGCTTTTCAAATACTTACCATAAAACAATGATCTTAAACCTTGTAAAAATCTTACTTATTGGCGCGTTCAGTAGGCTAAGCGTAGATATAAAGTACGAAAACATATTTTAAAATTGATCTTTAATCAATAAATAGTTGGTATGTTGTCTATTTGTTGGTAATATTTGACATTTTTGTTATCTGTTTATATATAAAATAAATTTTCAACAACAGCTAATAACGTTAATAATTAAAAGGCAACAATAACACCGAAAAACAGTTCTAGTAGCTTTTTTAAGTTAGTATCCTTTTGTGTAAGCAATAACATTAAATAGCACCCAATATGATTATGGCCTAGATTTTGTTCTTTTTTATTTGTTTTTTTTTTTTTTTCTGAAGATCTTATTCATGATAAATAGCATGTCAAAGCGTTTCAAATGTAATTTACGACAATTGAATACAATGAAATGAGATAGTCCTGCTACCTGAAATAACCAATTTAACATCCTTAAATATTTTCCGCTTTCTGTTGCTCACAAAATGTTGTCATATTTGAAAACTTTTTCCTCCACCCGGTTTATCTTTGCCAAATTTAGGATCTTCATATTGAGATTTCAATTCAATTTTAATGGAACACATGTCATCATAAACTAGGCCTTGGATTTCCAGCAATTTCTGTTTTGCATATTTATCAGCAGCTGTTTTAGAAAGTTGTTCTAGATTGTCACTCAAACGATTAAGCATCTCGTAATGTTTAGTTATCGTCTCATAAAATGATGTTCGATTTCCAATGAACTGTGAATAGAAATAAAATAAATTAATGGTAAAGAATGTAACATTAACCTAACTTATATGTATATTTTTAATATTCAATTATTTATAATTGCAAAAGAGAGAAAAAAGGAAACTCCCCCCCCCCCCCCCCCAAAAAAAAAAAACAAACAAAAAAAAAACAACAACAACAAAAAACACCCGAAACGCCAAAATTAAAAATGATCATGACTTCGTATGACTGTTCAATAATGGTACTGGAAAGTGCAAGCTTGCGATTAAAACAGAATTGAACAACTACCATGCAATGGTTAAAGTTTGAATTTAGAACATTTGAGAAACATTTCATTTATTTCGATTTGAAACGCTTCAGTACGTCGTCGGAAAGCATAATTAATCACATGTGATCAGGATTTTCAACGAAGGTTTCTGAAATATGTTACTTCTACTATCGATCCTATGCTATTAAAATGCAGAAGAAAAAAAACACGTAAGAACTCTAAATGTAAGAATAGAGAAACATGAAGTAACTTACATCCTTTTTAAATTTCTGGCTGTTAGATTGTGAAGTTATTGTAAAGTCCGCCATAGAGGCGTCGCTTGTTATGCAATATTCTTCTCTCATCTGAAACCAATGATATTTAACGTTTAGTATCTACAATTATCAATTTGGTTTTATGCTGTAAACTATTAGGCATGAAGTATGCTAATTATTCAATATATTTACTGCTTAAACCTTATGATTTTTTTAAATTATGTATTATCGTTCTTAGCTTAGTATCCTAATCTAAAAGGTATTCTTGAACGTCCTTACATATTAGAGGTTTATTTTAAAGATATACGAGGTATCAATTGTAATAATGATTTCAAATGTTCTGTATTCTAGTCGAACACATATGGCAAAATGTACATGCTATAAACACAGCCGTCGTGCAGAATTATTACAATATGAAAACAAAAGTCAGCTAGTAAGGTCGACGTTTCAATGGACGCACCCTCCAACAACAAGAACAACCAAAAACACAGGGCCATCGGCAAGGAGACAAGCAGGGCACAAATCATAAACAAGTAGCGCAATGGCAAACACAGATGGAACGCTATTTCAAACAACCAAACACTCGAAAACATTGAAAAACAATAAACACATTAACGAAATTTTGTTTGTTTGTTTGTTTGTTTCATCTCTACGCCTTTTCCCAACAGTATATCAGTCATATAGGCGGGTAGTTTCCTAACCATCGTTCGTGGAGAGTTGCACCAGTACTGGACTCCCTACCTCCTTGCTAAACTACCAAAGCATCTCCCGGGGATAGAACCCACGCCAGAGAGGTAACTGCATAAGAAGTCATCGACTCTAACCCCTCGACCACGGAGGCGGTTAAACGAAAGAAATCTGACTTATTTTTATTAAAATATTTATACATTCCAACATACCTGTGTTATTCGGGATTCAATTTTATCTTTAAGATACATTATATGTTCATTTATTCTTTCAAAAGAGGGTATTAATGCCATATCCATTTCAGGTTGGATACCTTCATCGTTTTGAAAACAAGGCGGCGTTTCATCCGTTACATATCTCCCCTCGAGGGAGACCAAGAACATTGCTGGCACATAAATATCTGAAATATAAAAGTAAACGTTTTAAATCCGTATAAAATTACAGAAATATACAAAACTATATCACCTTTAAACAGTTAAAGTCAGAATGAATTGTTTTATATTCAATGACAAATTATTTTTAATAAGCCTTTTCGTGAATCTAATGGCAAAAGTACTTGAAAATAGTAAAACGTTTATATTTACTCTTACATAAAAAAAATTCTCATCATTTTAAAAATATTTTCTGTTCAGAGAACGCTATATTTTACCTTAGATGGAAATTGATCTTCTTATATAGTTGTCCAAGATAATGTCCAGACATTGCTGCCTACATCTGCATAAGAAGTGAACGTTAGTCATTAACGCCTCTTCGACAAAAGGCTTGTTAACGGACATATATCCTACATATCACTATAACAAGTTTGTAAATATTTTAATGATTAAAATGCCACAGAGTTACCGGATTTAAAACATTAAACTAATCGATAGACATCGGCTTTAAAATTCTATTTATAGATACAAACAATATGTCTAATCCACTTGTTATGTTCAGAATAATCACGATTAAGTAAAAGGTAAAACACCTGACATAGTTTACGACAAAGAAAGATAAACATTTACAATAAATTCCTACACCATAGGCATTCAAAATTTCAAAGCAATATCCTGTTCAATTACTGTCATTTCATGTCGTTTATAAACAGGACACTAAAATTATCTCAATCTTATATGCTTATTTTTTTATATAATATTCTTATTGTGTATGATAAATCGGGTACTTTAGAGACAACAGATTATTCTCGTGAGTTATTGTTTACTCATTGCGTATTCATTATAACAATTTTTTTGCTTGTATACTTCAATAGTTATGGACGTGTTTTTACTATTGATCAACTTCAAACATAAATCAAGTAGATAATTGAAAGATAAGTATACATAGGTTTTATTTTTAATGTTAAGCCTAACAAATTTCGTACTATTGACAACTCTAAAAAAATGTAAATTATAAAAACAAAGTTAACTTTCATTTTGTTCTCTTAAACACAACTATTATTGAAACGTCAGTAAACTGTACAGCCACTTAGAAAATTTTCCATCTTTTCAGGTAAAGTTAAGAATAAGTTAATTAGTACGCAGATTTTACCTTCTGTACAAGGGGTAGCGCACGTGCCATATTCAAACCTCGGTTGTCAAACGCTATTATAACACATTAATTTTTGTACACTGAGTTTGATTTCTCTTCTATAGGAATAATGATACAGGTGTTTTTCATAAAGAAGATTGCTACTTTGTCTCATATGACTTGTACAGAAATTTATTATCTAAAGTTTATCAACAATCACAAACTTTATATTAACATTCTGGACCATGAATGGACAACCTCAAACTTTACTTTATATATTTCATTTGATAATCATTTTCAATAACTTATAATGTATCAATTTTGATAAAAAATTCCTTCATTTAATATGAATGAACATTAAATCAGTTGTAAAACAGAAGGTGCGATAGAATTTTCTTCTGACAGATTAAAATAAAAAATGACAGCGATTTGAACACTGATAAGCTAAAATTGGCAAACATTTTAAGTTTCTTATTCTACGGTTGTCATTTAAATTGTTGTATTTTTTTTGTTCAAGGTTGACAGATTAACTGATAAATCACGTTTAAGATAAAATTGTTGTATTATTTATGTATGAGTTAAAGATTTGTGACTTAATGAAGGAGTGAAATGTGTTGTAATTTGAAGATAACAGTTGAAAAATCAATTTGTTATGGAGAAATATAATCATGGATTTACGTATGATGCTCTTTTAAAGAGTTTGCAAATGCAATAATTAAACAATACTTCGAATGAAATTAACAAATAAGCAATTAATAAATTAGCAAATAAGATTGACATCTGAGTAAGATATGCGATGTGAAGTGTGTTTAATTAAAATACATCATAGTTGTCAGCAGATTGTTTGTGAAAATAATCGGGACGATTTTCTAACGTTAAATATAAAGAAACTAAATTCATTTCTGTGATTTCGTGCGTGTTTTTAGTGGGGCGGTTGTTTTGTTATTTTTCTCAAATTATCGGAATTGAACGGAATGTATTAACTAGTGACAATGATATTTTACAATTATCAACATAATTTCATGATGTAAAACTTCATTGACCTTTGATAGTAAAACCGTGATAACAATGCAAATAAGGAAAGCACGATAAAATGTTAAAACTTTCAGTATAGTTCAACATTTTCATTTAAAAAAACTGAATCAGGTTATCATCACTACTGTATTAATCTCAAAATTGTCTGTAATTTCCCCTATGCTGCCTGAAATTAACCTTCTGTTGTCAACGATAACAACAAAACTGCCTATAACTTGTAGAACTTTGATTTACTCATTGATATCATACCACAAACGACATACTACCTGTTATCACAGGATCACAAACGTCGGCACCTAAAACTCTAATAAACATAGCATTCTAAATCAATGAACTTTACGCTGTACCGTTGTACAAATACTAATTTCTGCGCTCAAAAGTTACCAAACGTAATATTTACACTTTTATGATAGTATTGTTTTTTTATATACATTAATATATTTACCTACTTAGAAACAAAATACCACTTATCTTTTTATCATCACAAGTATAATGATGATTCGCGAATTAATTGAAGTAAATAGTAGATATTTGTTTGGTATAATATATTTGTAGTCAAAAAGAGCAGCACCTTTTCATAATTAACTTTCTTGTCGAATTCACAGAGACTTGGAGTGTAGACCCCGTCCTTCTCCGCCACTGAATGTTAAAAACTAACAAAAAATGTTTTGTAGACTAGTATTATTTTTTGCACATATCAGTATGACACGTTAAAGTGTCTAGCACGTAAACAAGTTTGAACAAAATTTTATAACCTTTTTTAAAATTTCAATTTTACACATGCTTTAATTTTCCGAAAATTCCAAGCTTCAAAATTTTAACATGAGTGACATGTATGAATTTCAAGCATTTATGTTATCGCGTGCCATTTAATTCTGACGTCAGTCAGCCGAGGTATATATTCTTCTAATAAAAAGATATATGTAACTATCCGATCTTTCCTTTTTTCTAAACTTTGCACATTAAATTACAAAACACCGTGTCCCATGTTTGTTTACGTAATAATAATAAAAATATTATAAAACGGTATCAAATGAAATATACTTTATCGACATCTGTCGCACGTGCGCGTGTAAGCGAATTCACTATAATTAAAATAAAATAATACTCTGATTTTGTCTCTGTTTGCGAGAATATTTTTACATAAAGTGTTCAAATATCCATTTTATTCGAACCGCAACTGTGAATTTTTTGTACTTATTGAATTGACAAGATGAAATCCTTCCAAAATACACGTGTTTTATTCGTAAGAGAATTATGGCCGGATCTCAGCACGAAATTAGAGCGCAAAGCAGTGCCAAAAAAGCCATTTCGTTCCTCTCACATCTAAAGGAAGCGAAAGTTGTTATCTTTATAACATTATGATATTTTAGCTAGCTTTTTTGTTAAACGTTGTCAAAATAGCGAAAAAACAAGTTCCCTGTTCAAGACATGCATTCAGGTCGTAATAATATGCAAAAATATTCTGACGTACGGTTTTCAAAATAAAGTTAGCCATTGTATATAAAAGTGCGTATCAAGAAGGAAAGCTACTCGCATAACCCCAAGTGTCTGTGGTCGGATAACCGGACAAATAATATATACGTAATAATACTTAAAGCAAAATTACTTTATTCATAATGCAATATTTTAACTCATATTCTAAACAAAGGTAAAAAAAGTAAACGATAAAGGGACTCTACAGAGGTACTTTTGACATATCAGGATATATAAAATATTTTTTCGAATTTCCAAGTTTTTTGTACCATTTGATTAAGATCTGCTCCAATCTTGTGTGCAAATTTTCAGATCCTTTCCTCTTCATTATTTTTCAGAACTATCATTTTTATTGTGCAAAAAAACACAAAAAAAGAAATCGTTGTAAACTAATGTAAATAGACCCCGTCTGAAAACGTAATTTTTGTTGAAGTAAGAAGGATATAGGTAATACAATCCCGATGTTTTGGTCAAGGTAAATATTTCGTGCTATGAATATCAGACAAATACAATATGACTATATTGATTCAGAGACAACATATGTATGCTAATTCCTGCTGTTCGTTTACCCGAGTTATGTCCAGACTTTTACAATGCTGCGTTGCAACTCTTAAGAGTCCTTCCGAAGTAAGTACGAAACAATAATACATTGATTACTATCACGACATGTGGCAAAGAGCGCAATTAATCATTGAAGCTACCTCTAGTTTCTTGAGATATACCGCAAATGATGTTTCCAATAAGGGTACTACGCTTTGGTGCACCTTTACAATAAGAAAATGCACATGGAATTTTCCTGACCATTAAAAACCATCATCGATGGTAATGGATAATTCAGAGCAATGATTAAAGTTAAGTGGGCACTCCCAAATGACTCATACGTGTTTCTTCTCATATGGCAGATTCAAAATTTATGTTTATCTAAGGGAGTTGACTAAAGAATAATATAATTTTAGCGAGTCCGTTGAATAGTGCTTAATGTTGTTGTATTCGCAATCTCCCCGCTGTGGGTTCAAATCAAACCATGGAGCTTGCAGGAAGCTATGCAAAAAGTTTACGGAATGTCGATGGTCTACTCAGGTATCTGTTTTTTATGAACCAAAGCATTCAGCGGCTCCAAAGGTTTTTTTTTACCAATGAAGCTGGGATGTTGCTCGCAATGTGTTAATTCAAAATTGTAAAACTTAGCCTCTCCCCAATCCACCCAACCCCCAGAATGATTAAATAAATAAATGAAAATAATGTTTTTTTTTAAACGAAGAACATATTCGACTTTGTGGATGATGTCAACTCTCTGATTTACATATGGTCATGCCGAAATGTGTCACATTTGCTAGTCTTTGGATACATTTATACAGACAAATTGTGCATGTTTTTTCAATGTAT